ATTGATTGAATATTTATTGAAAGGAGAATTGGTGAGGGGGGTTGACAAATGGAAAATTACTGTGGTCTTTTGTCCTTTTTTGTTTTTTTTTGAATCGTTAATGGGACACACACACGTCAGGCACACGACAGAACGACCACAGACTTTGGACGGAGACGACATTCAACTTGTGGAGAAGGTTTCTGTGTTGTAGGATTGTGGTTTCCTATGGCACCGGTGTGTAGCCCAGACCCACACCACGAGGTACGACCCGATACTAAAATTATTTCGTCGGTCTTTAAAATAAAACTTTTCTTTCTCTATAAAATTTCGTGGTATCCTGCTGAAACACTGACTGCGGTGGACTGTGGAGGGTTCGGATACCTCGACCATAAGAGAAATCTGAGTCGCAAAGGTCGAGTTTATGGGTGAGTCGTCTGAAGATGCTTCTACGATTTGCATCCGTTGTGTAACAATTCTGCGAGTGTAAACGTTTACCAATGTTCACCCGTTTATGACTACCGTAAGTATTTACGTAGTATAATTGTAAAATATATCGAATAATAACTAGAGGTGGTGCCAGGACTCCCCGATAGGTTACAGAGAATACGGAGGATTTTGTCGAGTGTATCTAAGGTTATCGAGCGTATGTATGTAGAGACGTATTTCTGTACTACTGACCCCTATCTCTGTCGTATATATCTCAACAGCTCTAGCTCAAATTCCCAAATAATTACATATATACACCACCGCAAAAAGTGATGAGAAGTTTAATGCTTTCAGTAAACAGTCTTGGTTTATAACTAATCTCGTCTGTAATCTCTTCTGTATTATTCGTGTTTAAAGTTCAAGTTAATTGTATGGACAACCCTCATATTTATGGTTGTAGCAAATGTAAAAAATTGACAAGTTTCATGAATTAACATTAGTATGACAGTGTTCTTCTCTATTACCAGACAAGAGTAACCAAAAAGTTCTCCTGTCCCAGCCGTATAAGGATTACGCCAACAAGTAGCACTGTATCCCTTCCCCTGTTTTTGAACTTACTGAACAACTTAGTCACTCGGTTCGTAGAATGTGTCTCTTACTTAACCCAAAAGACAAAATTGTGTCAAACCCGCGTCCGTTAGATCTATGGTTAGTAGCGATATGGACCGACATATCGAGTTGTTAACTTTGTCCCTTAAAATGAAATATGTAGAGGAAATTCATGTGGTACATTGTGTTGATTAGGAACACATTAAAGGACCGAGTCGACGATTTAGTTTTCGTCGGACCACTCTAGTATATGACCTCGTATAATGGTGCTGAGTATTCTTGTCTATCTGGGAGTAACGAGGTAGATATTGATTTTAATGTGTCGACTGTATAAATGCTTGTTTTATCTGTTTTACACATATCGTTTTAGCTTTGCGGGTCTTGTCAAAGGTCGGCTGCGGAGCGGTTGTTAGATGTCATGACATCGTCGATAGTCGTGTGGTCCTCGTAGCGGTCACGAGTCTGACGTCATTATCAGGCCTAACTGGTCCGGATGGTCGCGTCAGAACCTATCCGCTTACCGGCACGGCTAGAGAGAAGGGAGGGAACAGGACGACTACAAGAAAGCGCCAGATGTTCGCGGACACAGGCCAGACCATCGAGGAAGTCTCTGGGTGAGCACCTGACGATAGGCTTGTGTGGAGTGGTATGAGCCGTCATTATGGTTGGACTTTACCGTAGGTGTGTATGTGTTTGGTGTATTCATAAAGTTGTTACGGTGTACAAGTAGCCAACACGGACTGTAAATTAGCAGCCTTTCGTAGTAGACTCTGTGAGAACTATAAGACCACTCGTGATAGAGAAGATTCATAATGTAGGACCAACAATGTTCGTTTGTCCGCGTGAGCACCCCTTAAAAACTTAAGTAAGTTTTTGGTCGATGAAAGGAAAAAGTGGGAGTGTAACGGACGATGGGCACACCATGGGAGGGAAAAGTTTTGGGTTTGGGGAAGAAACAACAAAGTCGAATTTTTTTTGGCAGGGTCAAGGGGGGGGAGGGGCTGAGAGGTAAGGAGGGATTGGAGTTCGATCACGACGAGTGCAGAGAAATGTAATGATTTCGTTAGGTAAAACCAGTGAAAAACGGGTAGATCAAGAGAGAATATGCGACAAGTGGACAACGTACGAAAAGTTAGTTCCCTGGAATATAACAGGAATGAGAAGAGCCCGTTGTCGATCACCCCCAAGGGTCTCTAGAATACACGGGGCCCCTGAGTGAGTCTTAGCTTGTGGTGGTTCAAAGATAATGAGTTAGGCGAGGACGTGATGAAATTATACGGTCACGTGTTATGGTGGTACCTGTACGGTAAGAGATCGAGTGGACGTGAGGACCGAGGGTTCGACTACACCCCTTGAACGACTCCTACAACGGACTCTTGTCAAGACCTCGAAGGTATGTCGGCCCATCTATGGACAATCTCGGTAGGTTCGTGTTATTTGTTACAGGTACATACGACCTCGTGAGACGTGTAGCTCCCCCAAATGATTTGTTTTGTTGGGGAGAAGAAGGAGAGCGGTATAACGTTCGATACTAAGTAGTAACGGAGTACACACACTACCACCGTTATATATTCATCTCTATGAAACGCGACACCCTCTCTTATCTCTTTTTATAGCTTACCTGTAAAAACCTAGTATGCGATCTCTTCCTGCTTCTGTGTCTACGGTCACTGATCGTGACTGCATGTCTGTGAGGGACTCTGGCTGTCTCCCCGTTGTGACGGACTGTTTGTGTGTGTCCGTTTCTGTGCCCAGTTGTAGAAAGACTGTCCACTTTGTAACACTTAGTAAGACTTCAAGGTTTACAAACACAATACGGATTTGTTCTTCACAGTGCCACAAGAAAAAAACCAACCGAATATTTTCCCAAGAATTTGCGCATCTGTTTACACCCAATCCACTGACTTATGTGTCTTTTAGGTTCACTTCCGTTTACCCCTTGTTTTTCGTTGTTCAGTACTCGTCAAAGTCGATTGGACCTTTTTATTGGGTTACCACCACAAACCCCCTTTTCGTCGTCTTTGCTCCCTTCCGTCTCTCAACCTCCGATTAACAACTGACGGACCGTCAGTGAAAAACGACTCTCAGCGCGAGAATTTTGGTCTCGAAGGTTGTGGTCTGCTCTTCTCGTGTAAATTTAGACTTACACCGATTTATCTTTCCCCGACTTTCACCCCCCCCCAGCATTTTTTTGTTGTATAAAGACAAAGTTGTCGTGGCGCAATAAACCGGAAAAAGTATGGTCTCCCTCGTTTTTCTTCACGCCTTACTTTCTATTTCTCTTTTGAGTTACGTTTGCCATCGTCTCTGTTTTCCCTCTCTGGTCTTTTTTACCACTTTACTCCCTTCTTACTCTTTTTCTCTTTCGTAGGACCAAAACGAGGCGGGACGCAGTAATGATTCTGCCCAAAACGAGAGCCGTGTATCTGTCCCGGGTCCCTCTCTTCCCTTACCTCGCGCTCCCTACTCTCTCTTCCTCCCTCTTTAGTGTCTCTTTGCGCTCTCTCCACGGTTACGAAAACCATCCGAGACAGTAGATTGGTTTGCAGGCCTCTTGCGAAGGCGCTAGGAGCAATGATGCTGGGAAGCTGGTGATCCCAATTCTATTTTGTTGTGCTGTGTGTGTGTTTTGACTTCATCCGATTTGACGCTACCGCAAGCACTTGACATGTGTCTGAGGTGGTGGCGTCGGTCGTCGTCATTGTAGTCTGGTCTGGTCTTGCTACGGGGGGACACTCGTTGTTAACGAAATGAATTGTCGTGTGTGCTGTGCGTGTGTGTGTGTTGTGGTGTGGTGTCGTGTGTGTGTGTGGTGGTGTGGTTGTGGGTGGTGGTGTTTCATGGGTTTCATTCTAGGTTGTGTGTGCGTGTGTTCGGGGGTTGTGTGAAAGAGGGAGCAAGAATCTCGGGGGTCAATCTGCACATAAGAGTGCCCGCGCGCGGTGTAAGAGCCGCTGGCGTCGCTCTACACACATCCAGTCGTCTAGTAATCCAGCAATCTGTCTGAGTCTGAGTTACAATGTGGGAGGAGCAAACGAAGGCCCAGTCTAGAGCGTGACAGCACACATGGAGCTTTGTGGAAGGTTAGCGCTTAAGTATTCGGACCAAACAACAGAAATGTAAACTTAACCGTACATTCCGAAATACTATACGGGAAGCGTGTCCATCTTGGTGAAACTTGTATTCGTGTTCAACGACGCTAGTGGTTGGAACAGTAGGAGCCGTAAACCTACTAAATCCAGTTGAGACACATTCGTTGGGTGCTCTCGCACTAAGGCCGGCCGGCCCGAGTTGTTACTTGGTGGTCTATTTCTTTTGTCCTTAATCGATTGTAGGGCTAGTCTTATTGTCTGGTGTGTGTTGTGTGTGGGGTTGGTGCTGCGTGTGGTGTGGCTCGCCGCGGCCGCGTCGGTGTCGTGTGGTGTGTGTGTGTGTGTGTGTGTGTGTGTGTGTGTTGTGTGTGTTGTTGTGTTGTGTGGAGTGTGACGTCGTGTGTGTGTGTGTGAGAGATCTACAAAGGGTCTTCTCTCGACAATTCCCTTGAGCCGTTACTTTTTCCGTGTGCTCTTGTGCTACCTACTAGGCCAAATTTGTGTGTGTGTGTGTGTGTGTGTGTGTGGTGTGTGTGTCTTGTGTGTGTGTGTGTGTGTGTGTGTGTGTGTGTGTGTGTGTGTGTGTGTGTGTGTGTGTGTGTGTGTGTGTGTGTGAGAAAAAGACAGAAAGTGAGTGCTGCACTCACTTTCTGTCTTTTTCTCACACACACACACACACACACACACACACACACACACACACACACACACACACACACACACACACACACACACACACACACACACACACACACACACACACACACACACACACACACACACACACACACACACACACACGTCAAAAGAAAGTGATGACCTCGTAAACCAGAGATTGATATTTCACTTTAACCACACATTCACACAGAATGCAAAAACTGCCAAGCAAAGATCAGTCAGTGTAAGTTTATTTAATAAGACTTCACAAAAAAAAAGTAACCATGTAGCATGTAACAATTATCATTCTTTTTGCTATACAGTAAATCCATACTGTTTTCGCCTCAATGCCATTTGTTCCACCCTAAGTGTCCTTTGGCCAACTCTGACTCACCAGCATCAAAGCTGAAATAAAGAAATATGTATTTTTTAATGACTTCTCACATATGAAAAAATAACAATGAAAAACAAAAAAGTAACAGCGTTAAAAGCAACACAACCGTTATTAAGGCGAATCAAGGCACACATGCATACTCCTGCAAGACATTTTATTTTAGCTTCTTTTGTGTTATACATGCTGGCTCTTTGAGCAATGTTGATTTAAAATAAAAAGATTCATAACAACAAATAAAAAAGCACAAGTATATTGAAACTTTTTGCAAGTAGTATTGCAAATTGTAACAAAAGCAGATGACATAAAAGTGGTCTGTGTGCCATGTTTTTAAGTTGTGTTTTTTATGTGCACATAACATGGTAGCAAGAGAATATCTTATCAAAAGTGCAAATGACTTTATTGATCATAACTACCATAAACTGGCTATCGCACTGTAAGCACAATCAGCAACGTTTTTTAAATGTTCTTCCTGTTTTTTAACTTTCTGACATTTTTTAATTCAAATGCTTAACCTTTCGTTATAAGAGCATTAAAACAGTACCTCCACCATACTTCGAAAAACAGACTCTAGGGTTTACATACCATACTGTATCAGTTCTCTGTATCCTCTCTTTTTTACCTGAAGTTGCAACTTTTTATATAAAAACATGAAGGTTGTTTTTGCAAAGTGACTCTCATTTTGCTTTTCTTTGGTAGGAAAGTACACAACATATTGGTAATGTTATTTTAAAGGCACTCAATAAACTTTGTTTAACAAAATCATTAACTCTTTGGTTAAAGAGGAAACCTTTAAGGGGTTCATTCAAACTTTGCAGAAATCAGACCCAGACAGTGAGCACGAGGAACTGATCTCTATATAAAAACAACCTGAGAGGCAGCATTTGTTAGCCTGCGTTACCGTCCTGGGTAATAACTCTGGGTTCTTAAAATGCTGTGACGAAGGGTGACAGGTATGTCAAGGGAAAGGTGGAGTAAAAGACTGTTTATAGGTTGCTGTTGCTGTTGCATTCGCGGCACAAGATCTTGTCTCCATCGGGGAAGAAGCCGGCGCCCACCAGTGAAGCAGAGCACTGGGAGCAGGTGAAGCAGGGCTGGTGCCACTGGCGTTCCTCAAATGAGATGTACTTCCCTCCTCCAAACCCTGGGGCAAAAAGAGCAATGACACAAAGATAAAACATTTTGGTTGAGCTTCAGAGGACTCAAGCATGCTTCAAAACATATCTAACTGGGAAAATAAGCTTTTTATTCTTTACAAGAAAAGAAGGGCTATAAGAAATGTTCCATACATTTATCGCTTCCTAGAACTGTGTGTATCATTCTTTAACTGGCTGTGTGCGTTACGATTTACGTAAATCCAGAAGACTTTGAAAGAATTCAACCAGGTTACACACAGTGTAAAATGCAGAAAGTGGCAGCCAATCTAAGTACTACAAGTATTTCTAGTGTTTAACCCTCCCCCAGTCAGTCGATCAAAATAAGCACCTGGGGACGCACAAATCAATATCATAGTGTGGAATAGTGATGTTGTCTTGCCTGTGATTGGTTTGCTGCAGGCCTCACACTTCTTGGAGTACAGGCTGCCGAAGCACTTGATGCAGTAAGGGCTCTCGTCTCTCGAGGTGAAGTGCTGACCCGCCAGCTGTGTCTTGCAGCTGGTGCACACAAAACACTCCTTATGCCACGGCTCGTCCCGATAGGTCACACCGCCTTTAGCCAGGGCCTGGAAATAAGAGAGGTCAAAGGTCAATTGGGCATCATTTTAAATCACTTCTAAAATGTATTCCCTTGCACGTGTCAGCTTAACAAGGATACATCCCACTTATGTTATGCTTCGGGTTGTTTCTGCTGACCTTTTTACAGTGTGTGCAGCGCGGGGCGAACTTGTCCTCGTAGCAGGACACGCAGTAGTGTTCATCCTTGTCAGGGATGAAGGACTTTGAGCCAATCGGCTGGTTGCAGCTGTTACAGATGAAGCAGCCCTCGTGCCATGTAGAGCCGCCGTACTCCAACTTCCTCGTACCTAGCAGAGAGAAAGAGTGATGATAGGAGGCAGGGAAGGAAAGAGAAAGATGAAAAGATTGACTTACTGTAACTTATTTGAGTATGCAGCTTTTACGGTTCTTCATGGAGTTGTAATGGCCATTTGGTAATTTTACAGTATGGTGATTTTTATTTAACTATGAACTGACTTCAATTGCTTAAAGGCATATAAAAATCATTTTGTTTTACTAAGATGGATTTCATTTTACATCATAATACCACAAGCCCCACACTTCTTTCCGACTGATGGAAACTGGCGGCAGTCCGTTTAGAAAGGGGATAATGCCATTTTCCCCTCTACTGTAGGTCCCCAAACAATCCATCTTCTATCCCTTAGCTGTTGAGTTTTTTATTATACTGGTTGGGTTTATTCTATGGTGACGCAGTGGTTTGTGTGGGTCTGACATTTTAAACGTTTCACGGCTTTAGGCTGTGTGCTGTTGAGTTCTTGAGTCAAAAACTGCCAAATCCCCTGAAAAAACATTCTTGGTTACAAGCTTACATGAATTATAGTGACTCAATAATATTAGCAGTTTCTTAGCAAGTATCTGACAAAAAGAATAAAAGTGAAAAAGCTGAATGTTGGGGTCTCATGAATAAGCATTCCAACTTTAAAGAACCTTGAAAAAATAATACTTTATTGAATTGGTGCACAACGGATTTTATTCATATCCTCTTTGCATATAGTCCAATTTCGATATGCTCACAACTGTCTCTTTCCTTTTAGTGCCTTTTTTCCTTCCCAGATCATACTGTATTGTTATGGAATATATTGTAGGTTTTCAGTTTGACTTTCCTTACAAGAATTTCATTTGTGTATTTATTCTTGCAAAAATAGTTTGTTTCAAATGTCAGTGTTTATCTCAAATAAGATAATTCGACAGAGACATGTCTGTCGTAAGGGTTTCCAAACTGAATAAACTGAGTTGCAAAAGAAAAGGACCATTGTCTGCGAGACATACAACAGCCTTTGTGACGAATGTTGGTCATGCATCGGGATCAAAGTTGCAGCAATTTTATCAGAGAAATCGTCTAACCAAATCATGTTGAGAAATCCAATTACACTGCGTTTGTATTAAGTTTCTTCCTTCCTTGAGTCGCCTACATAAACAACTTCAGCCTAGCATGCAGTCTTTAAACAAAGACAAGTGTGTGTGCCTGTTTTTTGAGGGTGTTCATACTTTTATATGATGACAAAGCTGCTGTTCGTCTTTAGTTTAAGGAGAGGTCACACTTTTTCGAATTGAAACCAAAGTGCATCAGAATTGTGGGTGATACAGTGAAATGTTTAATTAATGCTTTACTAGGAAAAGTGAGGAGAAATGTTTTTGAGCTGAAAACTTTATCTAACTGTTATTCTTCTCAAGGTCTTCTCATCCCTGTATAATGCAAACATAATGTATTTATGTACTTCTCCAAACAAAAGGGGGATTACCTACAGTTGAAACAAAGGGAAATATCACATTTTCCTGAACTCATTTACTGCTTCGTCAGGGCTGTGTAAGCTGGAATAACTGACTCTCTTATCTCCTGTTATCATCAGTCTGCTGGCAGCCCTCCAGTCCTGAGGGATCTGGCTTCAGACAACAAGTCAAGCAGACTGGCAATTACTCTGTCACATTCAGAACTGGCAGCTGCTCAATCGTGGACCCTCGCATTCTCTTCTCCCTTTTTGAAAAAAAAGAAATGTCTACATATGCTTGATCTGTTTTCATGTGTCCCTGCTGTGTCTGTTATGTCATCATTTTCCATAGTCTTTGCCTATCCATCTTGACATTTTAATTTGTATACTACATGGAAAATAACTAACTAATGTTTAGTGCGCGAGTGGAGTACCATTATATATGGCACTGTCAAATGCATTATGTGCAAGGTATTTTACATGTCACTCCCTCTTTCATTTCATTTCCTCTTAATCAACGCTCTGTTTTGGAAAACGAGTCGTTTAGAGTGCATTATATCTTATTGCACGATGTTTTGCAGGTTTACCTGGCATGACGACTTTGTCGCAGGCTACACACTTGGAGGAGAACTCATTACAGTAGCAGTCATTGCAGAGCAGCTCGTCTTCCTGGCTGGTGAAAGGCTCATCTGCCAACGAGTGATCGCAGCGGAAACAGCGGAAGCAGTGCTCGTGATAGTGACGGTCCTCATAGAAGAGCTCCTGGCAGGGGGGAAAAGGGGAGACAAGAAAAAAAATCAGAACTCATTCTTTACGTGAATAATCATTTATTTGTATAATTTAAAGTAGGCAAATAAAGAAACGACTGAAAAGCTTTACACCTTCAAGTATATCTGGTTCAACAATGAGAAGTTAAAACTGACACATGCAAGGTCTTTAAGGCCTAAACAAGCATGTGGTTACTCTGTGTACGTTATCAGACTATACTCTATTTGTGAGTATCTTCTGCATTAAATAAAATTCTCACAATGTTACATTTATTGTCGAAAAGGAAATGAGCTATGAAAATGTTGTCTTTATTAATCACTCACTGCCCATAGGGGTGTTGATAATGTATTGGACTACTTAGCTAAGCAAACTATTACACATGCCCTCATCCTGTGAACTCTAAGTAGCTAATGTCAGTCTTAAATGATCCACTTCATGTTAGTTCTTTCCATTAAGCAAAGTTTGAATTTGAACGTGATTGTGGAGGAGAGGGAGACGTTCCCTCATGCTGCATTTTAACAATCATAGACTAAATTAGCCTGTGGACCTAGTGGAAATTGTCTGTGTAATTGCAAGTTAAATTGGTCTTTACTGTGTCTCTCCACACAAAATACATAGAACACGCCTAATTTAGCACAAATGATGCGTCATTAACATGACATAACTTCTGTCTTAGCTATCCAAGACCATGTCAAATTAAATATGCTTTGTTTGAACTGCAACGTGTAGCTCAAAGTGCGGAAAGTCTGAAGTCATACCTGCAGTTCAATCCAATGCATGTAAAAAAGAAAGACGTTACACAAACCTTTTGGGTAGAGGCCCCACATTTCTTTCTTGAAAAATGTAAGCTAGAAAATTGATTGGCTCCATGAAAAGATTTTCGCCAACAAACATACAGTATTTTGTGAGGTCACACTGACCTTTGACTATTTCTATTCAGTTCATATTTGAGTCCAGGTGGACAATTTTGCCAACTTTGAGTAAATTACCCACAGGAAATATTTGGTCATGAGAACCAGACAGAGGAATAGAAAACCTGAAAACAAAATGCCTTAGGCCTCGGCAGTAACTGTCACAGGTACATAAATATTATGTTGTTTTATTCAAGTTGGGTATTCTCTACTTGTCACTGCAGCAGATACGTGATTGCATGTCTGATCATGAAAATGAAATGCCTTACCCTTGCGTCATGGCCGATCAGCTCTTTGCACTCATCACATGTGTTTGAGAACAAATTGTCGTAACAGGGGATGCAGTAGGGTCTGTCATCTGACTGGATGTACTTTCTGCCGTACAAGGACTCCTTGCAGCTGTCACAGTCAAAAGAGTCAGTCATTGTAATTTTCTGTGAGCCTGAAACACAAGAAAGGAGATACTTGAGTCAACAGAATTTCAAAAGCAAACACCAACAAATCAATAAGAGATGAGGACAAGAAGATAGGGGGAACATGAGGAGGGGCAGAAAAGTCTTTAGGACTGATTTAGCCACCTTTTCCGACACAGGGGTTATAAATAAGTGCCAATATTTACGCTGTAAATCCCTAGGCTTGTACCATGGATGGAGCTGAGCTCAAACAAAACACACTGTGCAAGTGGGAGCAAGTGGAAAAAGAAAGAGTGTCAAGGAAAATAAGTGAGAGAGAGAGCGATAAGAGAGGTCGCCCAAAATGCCTATTAACTTTTATTACTGTGTGATGAAAGTGTGGCAGAGGGAGGGGACAAGAAAGGGAGCTGTCACTTGGCTTTCTCTGGGTAACTACCAAATTATTTCCTGTCGCTGTCAACCGCCTAAAAATCTGCGACATAAATATTAAAGCGCTAATACAAACTGAGAACTCCTTGGGAATACAGCAGTGTAGGAACCACACATCATACAAACCTGTAAATATGTATGAGGAGTGTATTTGCGAGGAGAGCGTGGACCACCAACAGATACAGAAACCCGATGAAGCTTTTCTGAGCGTTTGTGTGTGTCAAAAGCACAGACACTTGAAGCTGTTTGAACATGAATCCCTAAAAAGTGTCTTCCTGTCAGCATAAGGATACAACTACAGTTACATGCATATACAGACACAGGAGGCATACTGTCTCAGTACATGGTTTTCACTGCGCAATAAGGCCCTTGATCATGACTGAACACACAACAAAGTGACAGAATAATATTGAGAGAGCATTATGGCAACAATATCAGGTAGATTGCCAAAACATTACAGCATGGCTGGAGGAGAGCCCAGTGATACGTGATACAGCCCTCTGGCATGGTGTGCTGATGGTTATTAATTCACACCACCTAGTAATAATAATAATACTCATCTCTGATATTATAATCAAACTTAAAACTCAACCTGTGCTTCCTGTCTTACACACATGCATTAAAAGTCCTGCTATGCAAGTGAGAACTGTCACGCACTGAAACACAGGGTGACACAGAAAAGGGAACAAAGACTAAAAGCCAAATCACAGAGGATCCATCATCAAAGACAACATTAGTCCCAGACTCTCACGTTTCTTCTGTCTCAGCCTTTTGCGAGACCAAAAGCTCTTAATGAGCCGGGGTGAGAAAGTCAAGATCCAACAGACTTCACCTGCTCACAGTTTTCACATCTCAACCGGTGACAGGCTTTTTGCCATCACAACACCAACTCTCCAAACTGGAGACACACTTTCAGCAACCTTTGAAGACCTCAAGACGAAAAGTGTAAAAGCTTGACAGCCCTGCAGCCATGTGTGTTGGCTCGCATCACTAGACAGCCATATCTGTCTATCTAATGACTGAATGACACCTTTATTACCTGATGTCTCGTATTATAGTATCCATCTGGAGGTTATGGTGAAATATCAAAGTAAGCAGCTGTGGTTGGTCTGTGTAATGTACAGCAAGGTGCTGAACTCATACTCATACATACATCTCTTTACATTTGACAAACCATCAGTCAGACGTTGCCAACTGCCCGCATAACCACAACCTCAAGATTAGATCAACAAAGTAAAGAGCTGAATAAGAGCAATATGACCGTAATGTTATCTGCCGTGCTACGTAGGTATGTGCTCCCTTTCCTTGCCAGGTAAGGAAACGAGACGAGGCATGACTCACAAAGCCGGGAGGGCCAGTGCTGTGACGTCTGATGTCAGCTTTAATTTCCAGAGCATATCAGCCCGTTGTTTATTAACCCTCCCTGAATTCATATGCATCATCGACATATCCTCATAATAAAAAACTGTTGAAAGTAGGTCATGAAACATCTCAAACGCAGATGTCTAACTAGCCAATACCTTTTACCTGAGATGAATCACTCATGGTGTCCCTGATTGTATTATATCAGTCGTGGTTAGCCTCTTCCACAACAAGTTTTTGATGGTCTCCAAAGAGATGTAGGTTTGAGCAAGAATGAATAGTTTGTGAGCAATCCGGTTGATATTAAGTAACATAACTCACTAAAGCACAGATGGAGACCTGATACTCAATTGCAAAGATTCATAAGAATGATAAATTAGTTTCAAAATCAGAAGAAGGGTGTGTTTTGCATTCCAGGTCTTGTAGCGTGTCCTTTTAAGCAATATTGACTTTGTGTATCATTGTTTGAGTGGCCAATGCAGAGCCAGAAATGAACTCCTGATGGCACAGGCTCTCACAGAGAGGGGCATGACGTCAGTACACTGACCCCGGGGCAATAAACTAAGACGTGACCACATGAAGAGAAGAGAAGAGGAGGAGTTGGATCTGGGTCATAATGAACTTCAGTTCTCACAGGGCTTTGTATCTGCTACTGTATTTGCCACTTCCCAGCAGAGGTCCATCTCCTTTCTGACCAGAACTCAATGACTAAGAGCTCCACTCTGGGTTAATAACGTTCCCAAATACCAGAGCTGTGAGTGAATTCAGCCTCCTGGGAAAATGTGGGCTCCATGAGTAAATCTCCTCTGCTTCCACATAGAACAATGGTCCAGATATATTGTACTGAGTTTGTATTGGGGGGGGGGATATCATTATTATCATTACTATCTGCTTAATAATGATATCCAGGAAATCCATTCTCTATAATGATCCATCTATTTGTCAAATGCAAGTATTACCAAAACAGATGGATGAGTTAACGGTGGTTATTCCTTTTCTTGGGTCAAACGTTAAAATGTTAGCCACACCATGGCTTAATAAAGACCCCAAAATCCTCAGTGTGTTGTTCACAGGAATGTTGACACTCGGGGAAGTAAAAACAAGATCAAAATGAGTTGTATGTGCTAAATGACAACACATGTTTTCTTATGACATATAACCTTTGGTTGGCAAGTGGCCATAGTATAAGCAGGATAATGAGTGGTGCCCCTCATCCATTACAATCATGTGACTTGTCCTGAGTTATCCTTACTTAACATTGTGAGGTGTGATGACCTTAACAACTTCCCAGGGCTGCAAACATTTAGGCTTTTTATTTGTTTTCACACAGTTGTTAGATAGCGGAGGAATGTCAATGCTTCGTTCTACGGGTGAAGTTCATGGCCAATAGAGAGACGCCACAGAGGAACAGACCAATGCAAGCAAGCAGGCCCGTATGTTGTTGCCGGGCAACATATTCATGGTTGGTAGATACTCTGTCCAGTCGGGTCCCACAGCCTGTTAATCCCCAGCCCAAACTTTGCTTACGCTCTGGTTGATACCAAATGAGCAGCTCGCACAACCTGCTGGGAACAAGCCTGCCAGTTACCCCCCTCTTTCTCTGACATCCATAAGAAGAATCTGCTTGTTAGATGTATATTTAACCAAGGACAAAGAACCTGACATCATGCTACATCAACAGAGGAGAGATTATCTTGGACACAATGGGCAGAAACCAATGTACTGTACAAGCATAACTATACAGCCACTGTCCCCAATTACTTTTGCTGTCATTAAGTTCTACCATACACTATAGGATAAGAAGACTGTGTGTGTAAGTAATGTTCAGTAGGTTTGGAAAGTCATTAAAATTCATGAAAAACAGACAGAATGAAGATGTATTATCTCTAAATGTCTGGTTAGAGATTCATAGTTTGTAGTCACCTACTGTCGATCAGTTTGTGTAATACAATATTGAAGTATTATTTTTATATTGTAATATTGCATTCAGCAAAGCTCTATTTACAGTAAAGAAAGTTAAACAAAAGAAAAAAAAAAAAAAAAAACACATTGTGTGGCTGTGATATTACAGGAGCATTGTGGGAATGCCATATCTTCAAGATAAGATGAAGTCACAGAGCGGAAGTGGTGTAACTGTATTCACCCTGATAAGACAGCATGACCGGGGTGGAAATAGCCTCAGTCAGCCAAATGATGTCTTGGCACATCATTTCAAACAGTTTGGTTAATTGCCAAGTGGGAGACAGTACAAAGGATGTAGTAATCATGCTAAGAAGAAACCATTTCAACCCCAGGGCATCTGCTCTATTTGTTTGGTCTTCGTTTATTGTGATTGGTGGACTTTTATGTCCAAGTAGATAGATTTTATGTGCACAGTAAGGTCTGATTTACTTTAGGAAAGTAGCGGCAACAAAAGCCACTCAGTCACCTTTAATGGTTTGATCGTTTGGCAGCAAAGGTCTCATACAAGAGGGGAAGAGTGTGGCTCACTCATTACTCTGTGTCATTGTATTCAAACTCCAGAGAGAGTGATGAAGTAAGAGTGGGACAACAAAAAACAGAGAAAGAAAATAAAAATGAAGAAGGTGACTTTCAGTAACTAATGAATGCTGGAGCTTAAACCGATGACATGCCTTAAATCAATTTAGAGGAAAAGTAAAAATGGCTGCGTTTGGGTAAACACATACCATCACATGGCCTTATGTCTTGTGTCTGGAAATCTTCCAGACACAGTTAAGCTCCTTGGCTGGCGTTGAGATGGGGAAAAAAGTACAGCACTGGACACTTGAGTATATCATTTGAGGGCTTGGGTGAGCATATCAAAAATAAAGCTAAATGTCAAAAACACACTTGAAAAAAAAAATCATTTGTGTCTCAGTCCAGTGGCCACTTGAAAGGAGCCTGATGGAGAAGTCGTCTGATTTTATTTATTTCAGTGCCTCATGACCGTGGAAGACTTTTCCATGTGGTGACTGAAGCGAAAAGCCAAGTAATGAATTGTAAAAGACTTTTGTAATGGCCCACAATGTTTATGACACAAAGTCAGAGGGATTCCTTCATGTTTTCTCTTAAAAGACTGAACATCGAGGTCTGGTCCTTTGGTTAAGTTTCCAGATTCACATATTCTAAGAGACCAGTAACTCCACAAGTGTTGCGTGCATGAACAACTGGTCAGCACCAACAAGATCACAATAAAACAGCTCAAGAGTTGGACATACAATTGTTCTGTGTTATATAT